AAATTCAATGCAGAGGGCGGGTCTTTGGGGGGTTTTTTTTTTCTTCTCCGCGCATGATTGACTCACGCTTCCTCCAATGGCCGGTCTTCCTTCCGCCGTCGTGGTCACGCGGAGCCAATGGAAACGCGGATGCCTTCCCACCCTCTTTTTTTTTCCTCCCCACCTTCAATTAGAGGCTTTACCCAATCGGCTTCGAGCATCTGCGGGCTTCGGAACCGGCCGCGGGCTTTCTCCCCTCCCCGTTTCTTCCCAATTACGCCAACGGCGTAGCGGGCGCAGTTGGCGTAAAGCGCTGGCAAGCCCCAGCGAAGCACAAGAGGTCTGGAACGAGCGCGCAGGTAGGAGAGAGAGAGAGAGAGAGAGAGACCCTTCCCCAAGGCTGATTGCTAACCTCCCCTCCCCATCATGGGGTGCATTGGGAGAGGATGAGGTGGTTACGGGGGAGCAATGCACCTCTCCCCTTGGAGGGTGGGGGAAATTTGGGGGAGGGGGTGCAAAAAAGGCAGCTGAGCCCTAAAATGGGTCTGGGGGAGCCATTGCAAGCTGCAAGGGGGCAGTCCAAGGAAGGGCTTGGAGAGCCCTCGGGAGGGGTCGCTTGCACCCTATGCCTGGGGGTTTGCCAAGCATGCAAAATGCCCAGGTGCCTGCATGGGTGCACAAGGCGACCCTACGGGGGACGGACGAGCTGGGGCAAAAGTTTCGGGTCGGTGCGTCCCCCCCCACAACTGATGGTGCATGCACACGCACACACCCGGGGGGCTCTTTTTTTCCGAGCAAGAGAGCCACTTCCCCCCCACCCCACCCGGTTTCTCCCAGTGCAATACTTTGCCGGAAAAGGCTCGTGCAAAACACGTAGGTGTGCCTTCCTCACGTGTATCCCTTTGCCCACCCTGGCTTTTTGCTGCGATGAGTCATCGGGCTCATCAAACCGTAATTGAAACCAGCCATGGTTTGTTTAGCCTCCAACCTGGATCCCGCGGGTATATCTTTTCTCCTCTGCCTCATAGCCAGGTACACCTGCATACAGGTGTCTCTGTGCCAAGCCAGCGACGGCTTGCTCTGAGCCCCTCCGCCCCGGACATTGGGCCATATTCAACAAACCCTATTTAAAACAAGCCACGATTCGACGTCCCACGTGGGTCCTACGAATGTATCCTTCTCCTCTGCCTCATAGCTAAGTTTACCTGCCTGCAGGCCTCTCTAAATTTAAATGCAAACTTTTTCCCATCTCTTTGCATGAAAGTCTCTTACAGCTGCTTTCAAGATGCTTGGTTCCAGATTGTTAAGGATTTGTTGTTGTGTGAATGCCAGGCTTTTAAGGAGTTACTAGTTCTGGTGTTGCAGGGAAATTGTGCAATCCCTTGAAGATTAGATCCCACACTTATTTCTCAGCCCATTTAAGATTATACTGTCAGGTTGCAATACCCCACAGATTAATTCAAGATTAAACACCAGGTTGCAATACCACCGAAATTGCCTCCCTGTTGACACCTGTCTTAATCGTTGTATTTCAACCTGTAGTAAAAGTGGAGTAGAGTGCAACTCCACCTGGTTATAAATTAGGAGTTGTTTCTGGATGGTCGGGATTTTATAACCTCTTGCTGGGGGTCTGCAAACAAAGAGGCATGAATAGTGAATTGTCTTGAGGCTTATATGACCTACTTGTTTTCCCTTGAGAAAAAAAAAAAACTTAACCCAACCAATTTAAGAAAGCCAGAATGAATAACCAGGGATGTCTTTCAAGGGTTAAATCTTGCCTGACCTGTTTTCCGCTGAATTCTCCCTCTGGATTGTCTGAATTGAAAGACTCCCATTGTTTGTTGAAATCCCTTCAGAGAAGATAGAGTAGAAAGGACCCAAGGAAAGGAGAACTTCATTCCTCCACCCCCAATGGCTGGTCTTCAGGCTCTTATCTTCAGATTAACTTAATCAAATGCTCCTAATTTAAAAATTCCCACCTTGTGTTTACATCATGGACTCCTTAACTGGATAAACCATCATTCTGGGTTCACCATCCCATCCCTCCAAGAAGCATGCTACAGTTTTTACTTGGGTGAACAAACCATGGTGGTTTCTATATGATCAACCTGTTTACGTCCTGTATATGGATTGCAAATGTTGCTAGAGCAGAGGTCTTCAAACATGACAGCTTTAAGACTGGTGGGCTTCAACTCCCAGAATTCCTCCTCCTGTCATGTTAGCTCAGGAATTCCGGGAGTTGAAGTCCACAAGTCTTAAACTTGCCAAGTTTGAAGAGCCTTGTGCTAGAGTCTCAAGTGTTTCCCCACCTTGCCAAGTTTAAGATGGATCTTGACTCCCAGAATTCCCCTGAGATAGTTCTTGAGAAGGTTTGAGGTTGAGAAAGACTACCATAAGACTTGTAACCCTTAAAGCAAGGGTCTTCAAACTTGATAGCTTTAAGACTTGTGGACTTCAACTCCCAGAATTCCTGAGCTAACATGACTTGAGGAGGAATTCTGGGAGTTGAAGTCCATAAGTCTTAAAGCTGAAGACCCCTGTCTTAAAGTCTCATTAGGTTCAATATTTTAGCATTGTGATGTACCATTAGCACCATTGTGTGTCCCCTTGAGAATTGACCAAGGATGGGACTTATCACACAGACTTCACAGAAGATGGGATAGGTGGTCCTTGGAACCTAGAAGAATCACCCTCTTTTTGGTTTTGGAATGGAGGCTGCGACAGGGGTGTTGAGATGGACGAGAACGTGATGCATTGGGGAGTTGAGGGCAAGCTAAGAATGGTTTTGGTTGGGTGAGTGGTTGAAGAACCTCAACGTCCGAGAATGGTGAAGAAGAACAGCAGAAGGAGGTTCTTGTTTTTCCCATGGGAAAATGGTGCAGTTGGAGGCCTGCACTACCTGGTGGAGACAGGTTGTCTCCGATCCAAGCAGCAAAGTTACGAGAGCCAAGCATTCTTCTGAAGATCACCTTGAACTTCTAAGGCTGAACTTTAGACTGAGAAAGTGCGGGGAGGCAGAAAACAGCATTCTCGAGTTGCAGAATAGGGCAAAGTTCTTCAGATCAATAATGTCTCATCAAAATGTGCTTTTGCAGTGAACTGAATGTACACAATCTGTTACTCACCCTCTCCTGCACTACACAACGAACTGGGTGATTCAGACCTAGAAGCTTAAATCCTGACATAAGGCCTTGCAAAGCTGGGTATAAGGTTTAACTTTTGTAAACGCCTGAAGGCGTTACCAATTTGCATTTTCCTTCCTGGGAGGAAAAAGTGAGTTTTGAAAGTGCGGCAGCTGGTTAAAAAGCATAGAGGAAAAATAAAGAGGAAAAGAATACAGCAGTAAAGTAGAAATATATTTACAGATACACACAGAGGTATGTTTGTGTGTGTGTGTATTTATAACACACACACAAACTGATGCATGTTTTTGTGAGTATATGTCAAGTTTGAGGTAGATACTGTAGATGGATAGACAGATAGATGAATAGACAGATAGTTACATAGGTGACGGAGAAAGGTGAGGGGTGGATGGATAGATGGGCAGATGGACAAATAGATGGATATAAGAATGGATGGGTAGATAGATAGATAGATAGATAGATAGATAGATAGATAGATAGATAG